TGAACTCTGGACCTGGGCGCTGTCCCTGAGCCCTTCAGCTCAAGGCTACTGTTCTACCACTTGAGCCACAGCACCACTTCCAGTTTTCTGGTGGTTTATTGGAGAGAAGAGTCTCAGGGACTTTCCTTCCCAGGCTGGCTTTGAACGGTGATCCTCAGCTCAGCTTCCTGAATAATAGGATAACAGGTCTGAGCCACTGGCATGCCCAGCATATACCAAATTTCTTTATACATAGTGTTTCTTTTTTTTCTTTTTTTCTCCTGGTACTGGAAAGCAACCTGTGGCTTTGCATATTTTAGGTAAGCACTACCATGAGCAACATCTCCAGTCCCCGCAGTATATAATTCTTTTTTGTATCTATGGATTTGTGGGTTCAGACATTGTTCACCACAGGTAATGTGTTTTATTACATTAATTGTCATAACAACTGTTAGGGAGAGTTATTGTTCCTATTTTGCAGATGTGGAAAGCAAGACTTAGAAAGATTGAAAAACTCAAGATGACTCACAGGCAGAGTCAGGATTTGAACTCGTGTAGATTTTCTTCCCATTGTGTCATCTTACTAGCTAATCAGAATTTATCATTTTCTTTTGTTTCTTTAATATGACCTGTTCAAATTTTCATCAGTAAAGGAGTTCATTTTCTTCTATGTTACTGGATTTTTTTTTTGTAAAACTGCTTTTTAGTTTATAAATTTGACTTTTAAGTTATAAAATGTCAAGAGTACTGAATTTACTGACTAGATTGCTAAACCCGTAATAAGGAGGGAGGCTAGTGAGTGAATGCCTGCCTGCTCAATTTGTGTAAGTGGATGTTTCAGATACCACACTTTGACAGAGAATTCTAGCGACTAAAAAGTATGTGGAAGTCTTATAACTAAACTTAGCATTCATTTTCAAGGAGGAAAAAGACCTTAATGGTTTGGAACAGAACTGAAAAGAACTCTGAAGGGTAGATAAGCTTTAAATATTAAATAAATTAGAGGCCAGGTGTGTATTTCCTATCTTCTTGGGATAACCATGGTAGGGAACCTCCAGTTGCCAGTGATTTATGCTGAGACAGCAGACTGGCTCAGCATTCTGAGGGGGTAGTTCAGTTTGCTGAGTGAGTTTTATAAGACTCAGCATCTTTGTCTGCAAAATTATTGTTCTACCAAACCTTGTACTTTTCCTTATTTTAGCCTTTATACATGGGAACAGGAATGAGTAGGTTGGTTTACTGTGTAACCTTAGGTGTATGTTTTTTAGTTTGAACAGATTACACAGGGCTTTAAGTGAGATAACACAGAATAGGTTAAAAAAAAGCAGAATCCTGAGAGATTAATTGATTTGGGAAAACAAAGGAAGTTGGGTCAGATAATGCAACTTTAGAAAGAAGATTTTTTTTTTTTTTTGTCCATCGTGAAGCTTGAACTCTGAGCCTGGGTGCTGTCCCTCAGCTCTTCAGCTCAAGGCAAACACCCTACTGCTTGAGCCACAGCGCCACTTCTGGTTTTCTAGTTGTTTATTGGAAATAATAGTCTCACGGACTTTCCTGCCCGGGCTGGCTTTGAACCGAGATCCTCAGATCTCAGCCTCCTGAGTAGCTAGGATTACAGGCGAAAGAAGATATTCTTTTTTTTTTTTTTTTAGGTCCGGTCATGAGGCCTGAACTCTGGGCCTGGGCGCTGTCCCTCAGCTCTTCAGCTCAAGGCTAACACTCTACCTCTTGAGCCACAGCGCCACTTCCGGCTTTTTTCTTTTTGCTTACGTGGTTCTGAGGAATCGAACCCAGGGCCTCAGGCATGCAAGGCAAGTGCTCTACCACTGAGCCACCTTCCCAGCCCAAGAAGATATTCTTAAAGGCCAAGTGATATAAGAAACTAATATGTATGAAGATGAATAATATTTAACCCCAATGCAATAAAACTTGATATAAAAGAAAATTAATTGCCAGGCGCCAGTGGCTCATGCCTGTAATCCTGGCTACTCAGGAGGCTGAGATCTGAAAATTGCAGTTCAAAGCCAGCCCAGGAGGGAAAGTTCCTGAGACTCTTCTCTCCAATAAACCACCAGAAAACTGGAAGTGGTGCTGTGGTTCAAGTAGTAGAACACTTGCCTTGAGCTGAAGAGCTAAGGGACAGTGCCCTAGAGTTCAAGCTCTACCACTGACACCCCCCCCCCCAAAAAAAAAGTCTCATAGTGTTTCCTGCCCTGACTGGTTTTTAACCACGATCCTCAGATCTGAGCCTCCTGAATAGTAGGATCATAGGTGTGAGCTGCTGGCACAAATTTTTTAGTTTAGTTTAGTTTAAATGGACAGACTACAGTTTAAAAGTCACTCTGATTATATTGTACATATGCTTAGCTTAAGAGGCTTTGTTTCCTCCCCAGCATCACCCTCTTTCCCTTGTGTTTTTCTGAAGCTGTGTGTGTGTGAGCTATTAGAATAGAGGAAGGGTAGGTCTTCTTACTTGTTTCCTTCTCTTTCCTTGGCATTAGTTCACAATTTGCACCTTAGAATTTTGTAAAGGTAGAAAAAAATTCTTTTGGAAACAAGTGAACTTTTTGATCTTAAGATTCCTCACACTATCTGGCACTGGAGTGGGAACAGGAGAAGAGGGTAGAAATACAGTGTTTGGACCCTTCTGGTTTATGGGATTGTCTTTTTCCCTTTTTCCCCCTTAGGAACGGCGTGAATGTTGAGGGGGCGACACACAAGCAGGTGGTGGACCTGATCCGTGCAGGCGAGAAGGAATTGATCTTGACAGTGTTGTCTGTACCTCCTCATGAGGCGGATAACCTAGATCCCAGTGACGACTCCTTGGGACAATCATTTTATGATTACACAGAAAAGCAAGCAGTGCCCATTTCGGTCCCCACATACAAACATGTGGAGCAGAATGGTGAGAAGTTTGTGGTGAGTGTCAGCCCCACTTGATCCTCAAACATCTAGCTTTCATTTCCCTGTCTTATGAGTATATTAGAAGAATAGAGTTAAAAGACTGCAATCCAGGTCAGTTTTTCCACCAGGAAAATGGGTTCATGCATAGATTAGAGACACCCTGATTCATTTCAGGGGATAAACTACAGTATTAAAGAGTTATATTTCTGCTTAAGTACAATTTTATTTTAATTCCTGACAGTTTCAAGTTTGCATTTTGGTCTATTATAAACGCATGGGAGTTTCTTTTTTTTTTTTTTTTGACGTGGGTATGTTATTTTTATTTCCTTGCTTTGGTCTATACATGGGAGTTTCTTTAATGCTTGCTTGCTTATTCTTTTATTGGTTGTCATATCTCTTTGCTAACAGTAATCTCTTGTTTGTTGACTTTGTGGAGTGATAGAGCAAGATTAATTTAAAAAGTTGGTGTTCACCCTCTGTTGGATAATGCAGAGGTTTGTTTTTTTGAGCCTATGCCTTCATATACTCCTCATTACATCTTTTTCATTTCTTTGGAGATGCATGTGTGCATGATTAGTTCAGATTTTCCTCAAGATTCCAATGATACTAAGTCCAATTCCCATTAGATATTTTACACATTTTTATTTTGTTGCTACTGTAGACATGTAGGAAAGCCCATCATGAATTTTGTATGTGTGCCAGCCCCGTTCCTGAATGCTGCTGTTTGTTCCTCAAAACATCATTACCACTGATAACCTCAATCTACTTATTTTCCTGTTGGTTGCTATATGCTTTTTTGTCTTTGATCACTTTGGGTATGATATAATGAAAAATATTCATTATTCCTTGTAGAAAATGAAAAGTGAGTTCTGTTAAGATACTGGGTAACAGGTAGCAGGTGTTTAAAATGGATCTGTAGGACTGGGAATATAGATAGCTCATTGGTGACTTTTCCTAGCATGTGCAAGACCATGAGTTCAGTCCTTAGCATCACTTAAAGGAAACAAAAACTAATCTGGTGATTAAAGTTGCAGCCTCTGATACTGGGATTTGTCCCCTAGAACTAAGCCACAAAACATTTATGGAATTGTTTTCTGAGGAGATAAGAAAAGCAAGGAAGCTAGGAGAGTTGCAAAGGGCTCAAATAGTTGGCATTTTAAGATAGCTGGAGATGATGGCACATAGGTTTTATATTAGTATGGTCCTTGTGTTCATAGAGCTATATAGGAAATTTAGAGTTTTGTGCTTCTCAAGTACTAACTTTGAAACAAAAGGCAGGTAAAAAGTTGAAATTAAGGTCATATCCTAAAAGTAGAGCAGATTGGGTGTTGGGACCTTTGGGGACCTTGAGAATTTCTGTAGACTTGAGAAAAGAAATGAAACTACTAATTGTTCTTTTTTTAAAACAGCCTTATTAAGTATAACTTACCTATGTTAATATTCACTTAAATGGCTGGTTTTATTAATTTTGGTAAATGTTCATAGTGTTTCATCTACAATAAACTATCTGCTTGATTCATCTACCCATTAAAAAAAAATGAGGGGCGTGCTCACTTTGGCAGCACATATACTAAAAATTGGAACGATACAGAGAAGATTAGCATGGCCCCTGCGCAAGGAAGACACGCAAATTCGTGAAGCGTTCCATACTTTTTTAGAGTTGATCATTGTTTGTGGTTGCATGTTTCCTTCAATTGTGTTCTCCTTGGCATTCAGAGAATAAGGGAGAGGACAAAGAGTGGGGAGGGACACTCCCACCAGTAGCCTAAACCTGTGCTTTTGTGCATTATTCTGAGAATAAATTTGTTTCAAATATTAAAAAAAAAAATGAGGGGCTGGGAATGTGGCTTAGTGGTAGAGTGCTTGCCTTGCATGCACGCACGAAGCCCCGGGTTTGATTCCCTAGTACCACATAAACAGAAAAATCCAGAAGTGGTGCTCTGGCTCCAGTAGTAGAGTGCTAGCCTTGAGTAAAAGAAGCGCAGGGACAGTACCTAGGCCCTGAGTTCAAGCCCCATGACTGGCCCCCCCCAAAAAAAAGAATTGTCAGGCCAGTAGAGTGGCTCAAGTGGAATAAAGTCTGCCTAGCAAGCATGATGCCCTGAGTTCAAACCCAAACTGTTAAACAGAGAAAAGAAAAGGAAACATTGTTAATAGTTGTAAGGGTTGTTATATATTTTGGATAGATATATTATCAAATAGATGTTTTATAAATATTTCTACTGGTCTATAACTTGCCTTTTCAGTTTTTTTTTAAAAAAACAGTGGTTTGCAAAGAATAGAAGTTAGACATGTTGTTGTTTTTTAACTTTTTTTGTTTTGTTTTGCTGGACGTGGGGCCTGAACTCTGGGCCTGGGCGCTGTCCCTCAGCTCTTCAGCTCAAGGCTAGTTAGTGCTCTACCACTTGAGGTACAGCACCACTTCCAGCTTTTTCTACTTATATGGTGCTGAGAAATCGAACCCAGGGCCTCATGCATGCAAGGCAAGCACTCTACCACTGAGCCAACCACCCAGCCCCGAAATTGAACATTTTGATTAAGTCAACTTTATCAACTTTTTTTCTTTTTCTTTTCTTTTCTTTCTTTCTTTTTTTTTTTTTTTGGTGCTCATACTGGAGCTTGAATTCAGAGCCTTATGTTCTTGCTTTGTTTTTATTTATTTATTTATTTTTTTTTGCCAGTTCTGGGGCTTGAACTCAGAGCCTGGGCACTATCCTCGAGCTCCGTTTGCTTAAGCCTAGCACTCTACCACTTGACTTGAGCCTTAGCACCACTTTCGTCTTTTTCTGTTTATGTGGTACTGAGGAATAGAGAACCCAGGATTTCATGCATGCTAGGCAAGCACTCTACCACTAACCTACATTCCCAGCCACTTTTTTTTTTCCTTCCTTCTTTATTTTTGTGCTGGTCCTGAGGCTTGAACTCAGGACCTGGTTACTGTTCCTGAGCTTCTTTTGCTCTACCTGGTGAGCCACAGCTCCACTTCTAGCTGTTTGGTGTTTATTTGGAGATAAGATTCTCATAGACTTTCTTGTTTGGGTTGGCTTTAAAGCTCGATCCTTAGATCACAGCCTCCTGAGTAGCTAAGATTACAAGTCTGAGCCAGGAGAAACCAGCTGCTTTGCTTTTTTGTTCAAGGCTGGCACTCTACCATCTGAGCCATGCCTCCACTTTTTTTTTTATTGTGAAAATACCATACAGGCGGGTTACAATTACATGGGCAAGGTAAATGCCTCCACTTTTATTTTTGTTTTTTTTTTGCTGGTTAATCGACAATAAAGAGTCTCAGGGATATTTCCACCCAGGCTGCTTTGAACCAGGATCTTCAGATCTCAGCCTCTTAAATAGCTTGGATTACAGATGTGAGCCACGGGCTTCCAGCTTCTTTGTGATTTTTTGATACTTTTGACTATAATCTGCCTTGAAGAAGAAAACTGTTTTGGTTAAAACAACTAGACTTGATACCTGTGTCTTTCCCAGTATTGGAAAATTTTCAACTGTCTTTCATTAACTCAGTTTACTATGAATTTTTACTTCTTTTCTTGAATACCCATAAATGTGAATGTTGACTTGCTTAAAGTTTCCCATAATTGGGGCTGGGAAGATGGCTCAGTGGTAGAGCGCTTGCCTTGCATGCCTGAGGCCCTGGGTTCGATTCCTCAGCACCACATAAACAAAAAGAAAAAAGCCGGAAGTGGCGCTGTGGCTCAAGTGGTAGAGCGCTAGCCTTGAGCTGAAGAGCTGAGGGACAGCGCCCAGGCCCAGAGTTCAGGCCCCACGACCGGACCCCCAAAAAAAAAAGTTTCCCATAATTCTTGCAGGCTTTTGTTTGTTATATTTGCTTATTGGAAAGATTTGATTATTAGAAAAGAACAGTCTTCAAGCTCAGGAATTGTTTCTTCTGCTTGCTCTAGTCTGCTGTTGAAGTTATTAATTGCATTTATTTCTTGAAATTCTGTTTTTTAGCAGGACTGAGGGATGTGTGTGTGTGTGTGTGTGTGTGTCTATGAGGGGTTCTTGGGGCTTGAACTCAGAACTTGAGTGCTGTCCCTGAGCTTGAGCCATAGGTCCACTTCAGGCTTTTTGCTAGTTAATTGGAGATAAGAGCCTCATGGACTTTCCTGTCTGGTCTGGCTTTGAATTCAGATCCTTAAGATCTCAGCCTCTTGAGTTGCTAGGATTATAGATGTGATTTACTGGTGCCTGACTGAGATGGACTCTTAATACAGTTTTGTTTTTGTTTTTTTTTGGTCCGTCATGGGGCCTGAACTCTGGGCCTGGGCGCTGTCCTTCAGCTCTTCAGCTCAAGGCTAGTGCTCTACTACTTGTGTCATAGTACCACTTCTGACTTTTTCTGCTTATGTTGTGCTGAGAAATTGAACTCAGGGCCTCATGAATGCAAGGCAAGCACTCTACCATTGAGCCACCTTCCCAGCCCCTTAATACAGTTTTGATTTACATATTTTTAAAAAGTTTATTATTAGGTCACGTTATGAGTACAGTACATTTGTGTTTGTGTGTGTGTGTGTGTGTGTGTGTGTGTGTGTGTGTGTGTGAGTGTTTGTGTGTGTGTGAGTGTTTGTGTTTGTATGTCTGTTTAAGCTTAAACTCAGGGCCCAGGCACTGTCCCTGAGCTCTTTTTGCTCAAGGCTGGTGCTCTACCATTTTGAGCCACAACACCACTTCCATTTTTCTGGTGGTTAATTGGAGATAAGAGCCACATGGACTTTCCTGTCTGGGCTGGCTTTGACCTTGGTCCTCAGAGCTCAGTTTCCTTAGTGGCTAAAATTATAGGAAGGAGCCACCAGCACTCAGCTTATAATGCATTTTGAGCAGTGTTACCCCTTCTATTGTTTTCTCCCTTCCATTACTATACTCAAGTTATGAAGGTCAATTTTACATAATGTATCTTGAGTATAATGGCCTAATTTGCTTACCCTTCCTCCGTTTGTATGTCCCCCATCACTTCACCCCCAAAACATGCTTCTACTTCCTGGTATTCATGATTTGCATCT